AGGTGTGTCTCGTTAAGGGTGCTTAATCTAAGTAAATCAAAACTTGGCCAATTACCCTCTTCCATTGGGGATCTGGTACATTTAAGATACCTGGACCTGTCTCGCAATATATTTCGTAGTCTTCCAGAGAATTTATGCAAACTTCAAAATCTGCAGACTCTTAATCTACGGTATTGCGTCTTACTTTCTTGTTTGCCAAAACAAACAAGTAAACATAGTATCTTCTATTTTCGTAATCTGAAAGGATTGCTGAAAAAGGAAGGAGAAGAGCAATTCCTGGTTCTTGAAGAGATAAAGATTTACGGATGCCCTATGTTTGTTTTCCCGGCCCTTTCTTCTGTCAAGAAATTGGTTATTCATAAGGAGGCAGAGATGCAACAGGTTTCAGGTCAATATCTAATCTTACCACTCTTACTTCCCTCTACATGTACACTAACTATGAAGCTACTTCACTCCCAGAAGAGATGTTCAAAACTCAAAAGCCTTGCAAATCTCAAATACTTGAAAATCTCTTACTACTACAATCTCAAAGAGTTACCCAGCAGCCTGACTAGTCTAAATGCTTTGGAGCACCTGGGAATTGAATGTTGTGTCGCACTAGAGAGACCCCCAGAGGAAGGGCTGAAAGGTTTAACTTCACTCTGGGAGTTATATCTCCAGAAATGCAAGATACTAAAATGTTTACCGGAGGGATTGCAGCACCTAACAGCCCTCACAAATGAACGATCTATTTGTATTATACTCCTTCAAAATGTAAAATCCATTCACTCTACTTGCTGCTGTTTGGTTAAAGTAGTTTTTTTGTTGTTGTTAAAGGTGTACCTACTGACTACTGAGGGGTGTTACAAAAAGTATTCCCCACCTACTGGAATGGAACAAGCTCCAGATAGTAGAATTTCATCAAAAGCTTGCATCAAGCTCTTTATTCACTGGATTCAAGCTGATCCAAATGGACAAGATTGTCGAAAAGTCTAAATTCTTGTACAGGTAATTCATACTCCTCATTATTTCCACGGATTCCTAGTTTTTGAACATTCTGAATCCCTGAATTAACCTCCTCTGTGCGACATGCCAGAAATTTGGGAAAAACCTTTCCAGTTCGATATGCCTTAATCATCATTTCCCAAATTTGTTGAGGAAAAATTGAAGATTTTTCATTATGTTTAGGAATGAATGTTTGTGATTGTAACTCAATTCAAGCACATTTAAACATTGTGACAAATGATTTGACATCTTTAGCAACATTTTTCGAATGTTAATTTACCACTGGCAATATTTGACATTTGTCTACAATTTGCTTCCCAATAGTCTCGAATTCAGATGTTAATGCTTCATTTGCAAAATGAACTACTTCCGTCTGTCTCTAATGACTTGTCCACTTTTAAATCGACACACCTATTAAGAAAACAATTATTGACATAATGAGTTTATCATTTTACCCCTATTAATTATGAAGGTGATGAATTAAAAACTTAAGATTTTCAAAAAGTTTTACCTTTTGCAAAATAATTAATTGAGGATATAATAAGTAAAAAAAAAAATTGTCCTTTCTTGATTTGTCAAAATTGACAAGTAATTAGGGATAATTATAAAAGAAAAGGTGAACAAATAATTAAGGACAAAAGGAGTACTTTAGAAAAGGTTCCAACTCTCATCTGGATCCATGAATCCCATGTACAAAAAGAGATTCTTTGTCACGGAAGAAAGAGAAGAGAGTTCTAACCTAGTTTTGAAAAGCAAGTGCTTAAGAATAGAGAAAACATCCAAATGCTCCCCTCAAGCTATGAGTGGATTTCCAACTATACACTTGTTACGGGGTTCTATTACCCCCTTGAACTACTTTAAAACAGATCAAGTTACTCCTTAAGTGCTGACATGACATAGAGATTGCATTTCACTCTTTTTGAGAGAGTGAGAAGCAAAAAACAATTAAAAAGAATATTTTTATTATAATTAAATTGTAAATTTTTTTTTTCTTTTTATTTATTTATTTTTATAAGAAAAATCACCCCTTTTAATGGAGGGAATTACTTTTCCTTTCACTTCTGGGAGAAGAAGATATCAGTCCCAACATTCCCATCTCTGATAGATGATAAATCCTAATATTTGACAGAAAAACTCATCGAACAAGCCGGCGATGAGGAAGAAATAATCACCGAAAAGATGAACTCACGGTTTAAAAATTTATTCTTGAGCTTCGAAGCTCTTTAATAATGGTTGTCCATGATTTGTATTTCCTCTTTATTTGTCAAATTTTTTTTTTAACTCAAATCAATTGATCTAGATGTTTTCAAACTCAAGAACTCAACAATGGAATTCCCATAAAGGATTCAATTTAGTCTCTACAATTTGTAATTGAAAATGAAAATTTTCAGATTTGGATTCAAACCCAACAACCCAAAATTTTATTTTTTTTATTTTGACAGCTTTGTAGGTCAGTGTGGTTTTCTGATTTTTTGGCTTAAATCTTCACACCTAATTCAAAATCAATTAACAAGTAATGTGTAGATTCAATACACCAAACCCAATCACATTCACAAACTTTCAAGATTTGCACAAATTTGATGAACACAATGAAGAACAATAGTTATTTTTCTTCAAATTTTAAGAAATTTTAATAAAGCCAAGAAAACAATTGAAGATTTAAGGTAAGTATTATAGAAATCTATAGTTTGAAGGATCAATTTATATATATATATATTACAAATTTTAAAAGAAAAAGAAAAGAGGCAAAATAGAATAAAGACGAAAGAAGAATCTAAAAAAAGTTCTTTTAAAAATTATTATATATGCCTGACAGCTGGCAGTGCGTGTCCACCACTTTAGGTTATGAATGTGGGTGTATAGTTGTAGGGTGATATTTATATCATTTTAAAGTCGTTCAAGGGGGTAATAGGATCCCCGTAAAATATAAGTGTGTAGTTGGGAATCGGATAATAGGTTGGGGGGTCATTGGCTATTTACTCCTTAAGAATACTTTTTTATTTTACCCAAACAATTCAAAACTGTTTTCAAGGGAAGAGACTAAAATATGTATCAAACTTTGAGAAAAAAAATTCATCTATGTCATTTATTTAAAAATTTGGCTCATCTATGCATTAAGAAAAGGCTTATTCATGTCCTTATTTGACAACCGAAAAAAGTTTCAGTTTTGCAAAACTATTTTCTACATGTTGGCAACGTCATTAATTAATTATTTTTTTAAAAAAAAAGACTCAAATATGTCATTAAACTTTAAAAAAGGGCTTATATATGTCATTCATTTAAAGTTTATCTTATCAATGTCCATTTCAATCAATAAATAATGACATAAATTGGTCTTTTGTCCATATTATAACGAAGATTCAATATAACAAAGTTGAAGACTATATTTGCCCTTTGCCCATTAATTAATTAGGAAAGTGGAAACTGCCTGCTAAAGAGGAAGATAAAGGGAGAAATTGCTGTCAAGGAAGAAAGATAATACTCCCTCTGTTTTACTCTTTGTGTTCAACAATATTTGAAATTATATCTCAAAAGGTCACTTTACTTTAAAAATTTATCTAGTGAAATTATTAAACTTTATATTGTATCAATAAAATCTCTAAACTTAAACCTTTCTATCAATAAAATCACTTAATTAAATTTATTATTAAAAGAATATTAACATAGCAAAATAAATTATTATTTTTATATGTCATATAAACACGAACCCACAAATAAATAATTTTTTTTAAAAAAAAACTTATTAAAAAAAGTTCAGACAAACTTAATCACGGAAACAAATATTTTTTATGATATTATTGTATAATTTAGTCGTGATTTAATAAATAAATGAATATTTTTTTTCTTAGTGAAACATATTTTGGTATTATTGTAATGCCATAATATTTAGTTTGCCTCCTAAATAAAAAATGAGTATAAGTATTTAAGCAAAACAACAAATTAACTCCAAAAACAGGAAGAAAAACAATAAACAAATGTCAAAAATAGAACAAGTAAGTATTTATTAATTAATGAGTTCTTCGGCGTGCAATCTATTTAGATGTTTCTTGCTAAATATAATTGGTAAAGATCTTACTGTTCCTTTGTAATTCCACAGTTTGCTAACGTTGACATAGATTTGTTCAAGCTTGAAAATTTTGTTTTTTAAAATTGTTGATAAATAAGTTTTAAAATTTAAAATTGTGTTTGGATATACATTTTAATTGATTTTTTGAATAAGTGTTGTGAGAGGAAGTAAAAAGTCCTTAATGAGATTTCTTTAATTTTATTTAATTGTGGAATTTATATTTACATGATATAAAAATAATAATTTATTTTGCCATGTCAATAATCTTTTTAATTATAAATTTGATTGAGTAATTTTATTGATAGAAAGGTCTAAGTTTAGTGATTTTAATGATATAAAACAAAGTTCAATGACTTTGTTAGATAAAATTTCAAAGTTGAGATATTAACTCTCATACTTGACCATTATTAACTTTGCACAATTCTTAAGAAACTGTAAATGGAAAAATAATTTTACTATATCATTCTCTGAATATAATAAATACAATATCTTAAAAAATGTAACAAGGAAATGACTATTATTAATGATAAGGGTAAATTAGGAACTAAATGTAAAATTATTCATTGATTTCATAAAGTGAACAATTATTACTGGATATCTCAAAATAGTATAGTGGACAATTATTATTGGACGGAGGAAGTAATTAATTTAGTAATAATTTAATTTTAAAATATTTATTTTATCTTTAATGAAATAATTAATAGTTACATAAATATATATTTTTTTCTCTCTTTTAGATCACACATTTTAAAAATATTTCTTTTAGATCACACATTTTAAAAATATTTTTTTCTTGCTTAAATTTTCTACCCAATCAAATTATATCATATAAATTAAAATAAAGAATACAACCAAAACAAAACAAAACAAAAAAGAATTGACAAGTTGAGAGATTAAAAGAAACCAAAAAGACCGTGTTTTTTTGTTGGAAAACCTTTCCACTAACAGAGGTAAGTGGCAAACTAACCCCACCAGAAACGACAGCTATGAAACTAGCTAGCAATTTCCATGAATATGTAGAGTAATTTCCCTAGATAGTCACCCATGTTTGGGAAATTACCTTGGAATATCACTTATGTTTGTTTTAGGACTACAATATCACCCAATTTTACCTCTTTTCCTCAAAATATACTTGCACCAAAAAAACATTATCTCTCTCCTAATAGGATGCCATGTCACATTATTCCTTTTTCATTATTAACATTTTAAAAAAAAAAATTTAGACAATCCATATAACCTAGTAAAAAAATATTACATAGCCCAAAAATTTCTACCCTAGTTCTAGGGGATTACGCGGCAAATCCAAATATGAGCTCCTCCGATTCTTCAAGAAAATATGTGGCTTCCTCCAATTTTTCAAGCGAGATAATGTTTTTTATATGGGCACTAATGGGCAATGGCACCTTTTTGTTGAGTCCGGAGCCAAAAGTGTAACTTTTTTTCTTTAAAAAACAAAAAAGGCACATCAAAAAAAAATTTAACCAAAAGGGCAAAATCGCTCCTGACGGAGCGATTTTTGTTCTGACAAAAATTGACGCCGTTCCGCTAAAAGAAATAAAAATCGCTGTTGATTTTCTCAAAAAAATATTTTTTCTTTAAAATTGCTGCTATAACAACGATTTTGTTTAAGAATTTTTTTTTTTAAAAAAAATAATAATCCTACCCTTGCAGAGAATTTAATAAAAATTTAATAAATAAATAAAACTGAAGATGGCGATTTTCATAGAAAGCTTTTTTTTAAAAAATCTTTACCCTTTCAGCGATTTAAATGAAAATTTAAAAAAAAAAATTAAAACTGAAAATGGCTGCTTCGGTATCGATTTTTTCTTTAAAAAACTTTTTTTTTTAAATGGCTGCCGCCGGAAATTTATGTAATTTAAAACTTGTTTTTTTTTTTTTTGAGAAAATCGCTGCCAAATGCAGTGATTTTTATTTCTTTTAACGGAACGACGTCAATTTTTTAAGAAGAAAATTGATCCGTCAGGAGGGATTTTTCCCTTTGGTTAATTTTTTTTGATGTGCCCTTTTTGTTTTTTGAAGGAAAAAAATGACCCTTTTAGCTTCGGACTCCCTTTTTGTTGATATTTTAATTCATTAGAGTAATAAGGTAACCATATTGTCAAACTACAAAGAATATAATGTTTTTAAAGAATTTTAAAAAAATGTTAATAATAAAAAAAGGAATTAAAAAAAATGTTAATAATAAAAAAGGAATAATGTGACA